TTGTTGTGTTTGTGGATATATGACTGACTTTAATTATCCACAAAATCATCACAATCTCTGTAAGATTAAGGTCGACTATATATATATTTTAAAGTAAAGGCTTTAAAACTAAGTTAGTACAAACATCGCTAATGTCACATAACTTTGCCGACATGTGGCCAACATTAATGTTTTAATGTTCTTCATTATTAAACATTCGCACATAAATAACTGGCATCATATTCAGTACTTACTTTTAAAAGTTTACTATGAAGTCTGGGATATGTTGGGCCATGAAGTCTACACCGCCACATCCTTAAAATTCAGGGAAATGAAGGATGCATTTCGAGCAGCCTTTGTATTGGGACAGCCTTCGTCGCGTCGCTGTGACATAGTCGGCCTTAAAATGCAGCCTTTAAGGCGGCAGACCCTGAATTGGGATACAGCCTGTGTCCACTGTGAACAACCATCCTTGAACAGAGGGCGGAGCTTTAACGCCCACTCACATCCTGGGCCATTTGACCTCAGGCAATCACGTGATAGGGTGGGGCTAGGTTTAATTATGGGTTCACACGAAACCTTGGCTGATTGTGACCTACACCCATTTTCACACCTTGGCTCGTGTGATTAGGTAATAAATTAGGCTCGTGTGAGGATCAACAGGGGGTCCATGACCCCCTTGGAGGACACTCCTATAGGGGGTTAAAAAAATCTGGGACTCTCCTCTATTTGACCTTAGAAATGAAGAAGCTTCTTGGATGAAACGTTTTCAAGAAACTTAAAGAAGTCCTGATGCTTTTCTTTCAAAGCTCCTCAGACTATGATGAGCTGGATCACTGAGAACCTTCACATATCTACATGATGACACTTGCAACTCAAGTAACTTATTCTACTGCATGTGAGCCCGGATCATTGTTGTTTTAAGGATCAGAAAACAGATGCCTAAAAATGTGGTTTGAAACAGGACATGTGGTTCAGGTGGTACCACAGGAGGGGGGCTGCTTACTAATATGACTATATATATGTAAAAGCACTGTGTGTGTGAGAGAGAGGTTATTGAGACTTGTAGTCAAGTCGATGCTTCAAGTGCTCAAATCGAGGAGAGAGACAGTGCTTTGAGCACTCCGGGAGAGTAGTGCTATATAAGTACCAGTCCATTTAAGCATTTAAAACCACTGCTCATCCCGTGCACACTGAGTGGAAGAGTCTGCAGAGCAGTTCTGTGAGAGCTGACTCTCTGCTCACCAGCTGTCCAGAACGAGATGGTCGGGATTATGCTCAGTCAATATTTCCCATGTGGTAACCAGCTGTTCAGGACTCTGGGTGATGATGTAATGA